AAATTACAAAAAACAGGAAATATAATATATACGAGACACTAGTTAAAAGCATATTACTCTATGGATGTGAAACATGGCGACTGAGTGAAAGGAATAAAAGGAAATTAGAGACAACAGAAATGGACGCGATTAGAAGAGCAATGAGAATTTCACGGAGGGATAAGATCAGAAATGAAGATATTAGACAACAGATGGGAATAGAGGGAACAATAGTAAATGATATAGAACAAAAACAATTAATATGGTACGGCCACGTTCAGAGAATGCACAATGAAAGAATTCCAAAACAAGTCATTCATTGGATACCACCTGGTAAACGAAAGAGAGGACGTCCCAAGAAAACATGGATGGAAGGAATAAGAAGGTCGATGAGCGAGAAAAATCTGACCGAAGATCGATGGGAAAATCGCACAGGGTGGAAGTTAGGCATCGGACACGTTCTGACCCGAATTTATATATATATATATATATATATATATATATATATATATATATATATATATATATATATATATATATATATATATATATATATAGTAAGAAGTTTTTACTTAAAATATGTACACACATTTTTTTTATTTAATTTTACCGTTATTAATAATAATTTTCTCTGATAAGTAGATCTACTAAAGTTTTCTACTATTAGATATAGATAGACTATTAAATACTTGCATTTTTCTAAACTACAAAAATGACAGGAGCGTGCAATATTTAAAGACAATATATTTTAGTAGACGCTATTTTTTAATAAAATATTATCCTTTATTTGTAGTCTTTGATTAACGATTTGATATTCCAAAATTAATATTTTGGGCTGTGGTCGCCTGATTTTTTGCGTGTGTTAAGTTAGCACAACCACTGTAAAAAAATGTATGAAACTATGTGGAATAATTGCCGTAATTTAACCGTAAATTTGCCGTGAAAACAAAAAATTTGCCGCTCTTCGCTAAGTATGTTAAATCAATGGTTGTGTTAACTTAATATTAAGTTAGCACAACCACCATTGGAAATCAGTGAAAGAACATAGTTAAGAATTTTACAGCATAGCAGGAATTTGCCGTTTTTTGCCGTTCTTAACGGATAGATAGAATTAAAAAAAATATCCTCCGATCATTCTCTATCCCCCTGCCTCAAAAAATATAATAGTGTCAAGGTCATATTATATTCAGTTACCACAACCATTCCAGTAAACGTTGAGTAAAATGTCTGAAATTAGGTGGAACAATTGCCGTAAATTAGCCGTAAATACACCATGCAAACAGAAAATTTGCCGCTATTTTATTTGTTTATATAATCTACAGGGTGATTCACGCTTCCGAAAAAGCTTTAAAAAACTATATTAGGCTTTTGGTTTGTGAATTTCATTTCAATTTTTTTACATAATATGGAGGCAATGGTAACGCACATTTTGAAAAAAAATTTGTCAGCATACAGGGTGATTCAAACATATTTTCAAACCAAAGTTGTATATTTTTTAATGGAATACTATAATTTTTTTAACTCAGTGTATTTACTATTAAATTTCCATTCCGAAAATGCCATAATGTCAAATACTATACTGAGTGGTTTTTGAAATTTAAGCGTCAAGGTCATATATTTAGTTAGCACAACCATTCCATAAACGTTAAGTAAAATGTCTAAAATTAGGGGAAACAATTGCCGCAAATACACCATGAAAACGAAAAATTTGCAGCTCTATTATTTGTCTATCAAATCGACAATTTTTAAATTAACGTAACCGATAACGTTAAATTAGCGTGATTTTTCTTAATAGTCACTAAATGAGATCAATAAGAACTTTTTAGTATAATAGGAATATGCCGGAAACAAGGCGTGGAATCGAAAAATTTATATTTGTTTATAAAATCTACAGGGTGATTCAGGCTTCCGAAGAAGCTCTATATTAGGTTTTTGGTTTCTGAATTTTATTTCAATTTTTAATATTTTTCATTTAATATAGGAGTAATAATATTGCACATTTTGAAAATATTTTTGTCAGCATACAAGGTGATTCAAAAAAATATAGTATTCCATTTAAAAATATACAACTTTGGTTTGAAAATATGTCACCCTGTATGCTGACAAAAAAATCAAAATGTGTGTTACCATTGCCACCATATTATTTAAAAAAATTGAAATAAAATTCACAAACCAAAAACCTAATATAGTTTTTTAGAGCTTTTTCGGAAGCGTGAATCGCCCTGTAGATTATATAAACAAATAAAAGAGCGGCAAATTTTCCATTTGCATGGTGTATTTACGGCTAATTTACAGCAATTGTTCCACCTAGTTTCAGACATTTTACTCAACCTTTAAGTACTGGAATGGTTGTGGTAACTGAATATATGACCTTGATGCTATTATATTTTTTGGTGCAAGGGGATAGAGAATGATCGGAGGATATTTTTTTTAATTCTATCTAAGAATGGCAAATTCCTGCTATACTGTAAAATTCCTAACTATGTTCTTTCACGGATTTCCAATGGTGGTTGTGCTAACTTAATATTAAGTTAGCACAACCATCGATTTAACATACTTATCGAAGAGCGGCAATTTTTTTTTGTTTTCACGGCAAATTTATGGCTAATTTACGGCAATTATGCTACATAGTTTCATACATTTTGTTTAAAGTGGTTGTGCTAACTTAACACACATTTTATTTACTTTTCTATTAATGTTAAGTTAGTGTTTATATATTTACATACGTAACATATTTTAAGTAATTTGTTATAGTCTATTATTAGTTATCTTAAACTACTGCTTTTCTATACTTAAATAATATATTATTTCTTAGTAGTTTTACACTCACTATGACCAGACAGCTAAGTGCTTGTTTTAACTGATCACACAGAATTTTCCCACTAATAAATTAAAACTAAAAAAAATGTCTTTTTATTTTCTTCATCATGAATATTTATATAAATATCATATCACATAACAACTAACTTAAAAATTACCTAAAACAATAAAAAAATATTCATTCTAAATTTATGATATTTAAAGATTTTAAAAACTTATGAAACTATTCAAAACTAAATAAACCAAAAGTAGTATTCATTAAATATTAAACATATTCTTCTATATACTTCAGTTTATGTGTTTTTCTGTGTCATGGGATAAAACTTGTGTCACTGTAAATAGTCCCTTATATTTAGTAGCACTTTTCATATAGACCATGTCTCGATCTATCTTATATGTGATCCCTTTAAATCTATATGTTTATCATAAATCTTTTTATACTTCCTTTGTTCCATTTCTATATGTTCTTTGACCTCTTCTCTCAATTTTTCAGGTAATCAAATACTTTTCATTCTCTACTGTCAATAACCTCACTTGTCCATCTTCAATCATCGGAATATATCCATATAATAATTCAGAAGGTGTTTTTTTCGCCACTGGATTTATTCACAGATGTATTTATAGCTCTTTCTATATTCTTAATATATGTATCCCATTTGTTGTCATCATCTGCACAAGCTGAAACCAGTATCATTGGAATAATAATGCTGTTCAATTATTTATGGTTGGATCACACAAATTCACCCAAATGTTCTGCTATTAAAATAGACACCCTCTTGATAATCTGGCTTATTGTAGGTTGGCTAATACCACGCAAGTCTCCATTTAATATATGAGAACAAGTCGCATAAAACCGTAAACAAATTAGTAATTGAATAACGGGGAGAATGGGTACACCACGATTGGTAGGTTTTTGCAAGTCTTCAATTATAAGAGGTAAAATAGTTTCTGTAATTGTAGCCGTGTTAAACCTAATCGGCATTTAAATTCCCCCTCGCTAAACATTTCTATTGGATTTCCTGCATCCCGTATATATCTTTTTGGAACTCGAAGACGATGTTCTTCTTCCACATGGTCCAAAATATCCTCAAACTCTTCTAACATATTCAAAACTGTTTAATCAGACAAAACGGATTTACAAGGGATTTACTTTGTTTACTAAAAAAGTTAGGTTAAGAAACACAGATCACATAAACTATCCAAAATGAAAATCGCAATCTCCAAAATGACTTTTGCTCGTGTATTCTGTGGATTCCGCTCTCAAGAGCCCGTCTTGGCGTTTCGAGACGCAACTATAAATACGGGCCTAAAAGTTATAGCCAATCTTATCTTTCTTGACTAATTTCACTTAGTTAGTATGGTATTTTTATTCTGTTATGATTTATAAATTATAATTTTTTTTCCTTAAGGTTGCGCACCTCAAGTACTAAATCAGACGCCACCACTGCCTGTTCATAAATCAAATCTGAAGCATCATTCAAAAAGAGTTAGCAAACGCTTTTCAAAAATGATTTACCAATCGACAACCCGACAGTCTTCAATTTCTTTTCGCTCCCACATTCGCACAAGTTAAAATCAATATTAAATGAAGTAGTATCGAAACAGTTTCTTTTATGTGGTTGTTCAATAAGACGTTGCGAAATATTTAACGACCATCAGCTCGGAAAACGAGAAGGGAAACCGAGGGAAAAGCCCCGTTTTCTTGTCGGTGGTTGGAACACTAAACGGTTATAACGATAATATTGAATGTTAAACTGAATAGAAAGACTTAAAATGGAATGTTGTGTGTGTCGTTGCTTTTTTCGATGCAATTTGCATGTTTTAAAGGAAAATTGAATGGCTCTTTCTTTCGAATCGTATACTTTCTTTAACTACACGCTTGCTCTGAAAACATATAGAGGAATTTTCGTATACTATTATTACTGTCTGCAATAGAAACTGTTTAGGTTATTTTTGTTTATGTAAATTACATATATCCAGTGTTATTCGATCACATAGTAAGTATTTTTAATCTAAATAAATAAAAAGAATTAGAAGTCAGGTTAGCTATAAAAATCCATAGGGTGTTCTAAGCTTTCACAAAAATATCAACATTTTGTTTTCCCTCGTATAATTGACAGAATAAAGAAAATGTTTAAAACGTTTAACACCCTGCTAAATACTGATTAATTTGTTATATTATATTTTTTTCGTTCTTTTCAGGCTCCTCCAATAGTTCGGAAGAAGACCTAATCCCCACCACCTCGAAACGCGAACCGGACAAACAAATGCCGAACAACGTCGCCCCGAAAATCGTCAGGACCATCAGCAGCAGCGAACTGAACAGCAACAATATCATTTTGCTGCGCAGTGCGAAAACGATAGATGGAGGCCATATACTGCTGCGCACCGATAACTTGGTAAAGAACAATATTTTGGTGGACGATGGCGGCGGAGAGTCGAAGATCGGCCATATTATTCTGCAGCCGAATTCGGAGTTTAAGAAGGGGATGTATCTACAGGGCGTTAAAAGACTAGGTAAGTAGCTCAAAATAGTTAGATAGAAGGGTTATACCCAATGTATTGTAGTTTAATGATTACTAGATTTTTAGAAATTGTGAATGTTAGGACGTGTGTTCTATCGATTCTTCTTCTGATTTATAAGATTCATATACCGGGTGCGTCTCAAATGTGGCTCACCCTTATAACTTTTTTACTTTTTCAGATAAAAAAACGAGATTTGGTATGTTAGTATATGGTACAATATAGCATTGATGGGCGTATTCAATTGTTTTTGGCCACTTCCAGTTTTACTGGAAATGACTACATCTTTTGATTTTTATACGGCCCTCTCGGTATATTTTTAATTTATTCGACAGAAAATGACACTCTGAATAGAATGACATATCATATTGTCAGGCTTTGTCAAAAACACTATTTTTAATCAAGGAGCGTTGGAAAAATAGTTTTAATCGTTTGATGTTTTTCGTGTCTTGTCCTGGGCCGGTTAAAAGATGCCCAAATCGTATTTTTAGTCATATCTCAATTTTTTCAAATGGAATGAAGGTGGCTCATTAAGATATTTGGAAAAAGCAATTTTTTTACGAATTATTCGTAAAAAAATTGGTACCACACACTTGGTATTTCGAGTCAAGTTGTCGTTATGAACCATGTGAACACGAAAATTTCAAATAAACCATATGCCAGAATGTCAAAAGTTGACATATGAAATGTAATTTTATTAAGAGTCTCATTTTCTATAGAATAAAGTAGAAATATACCGAGGGTGCCATTTAAAAATCAAAAGTTGTAGTAATTTTCGCTGAAGCAGGAAGTGACCAAAAATAATTGAATACGTCAATCAATCCTATTTTATGTCATATACTAACATACCTACAATTTTACCTACAATACCTACAATTCATATACTAACATACCTACAATTTTCCGATCAGGTTACGGAACAAATGACCATCTTCTAACAGTCAAGGTCCTTATCGAGAAATGCATTGAGTATAATAGACCACTAATGCTTGTCTTCGTGGATTTCGAGAAGGCCTTCGATTCGGTAGACCAGCGGAAGCTTCTAGAGACACTAAGTGAGAGTCGCATCGATCATCGATACTCCTCAATCATAAGACATCGATACTCCTCAATCATATGATAATGCCACGGCAAACGTCAGAATATCGACAAATCAATGCACAGATAAATTCAATATCGATCGAGGGGTAAGACAAGGCGACACACTGTCCCCTAAACTATTCGTTGCTGTGCTAGAAAGTATGTTAAAAATGATAAACTGGGATTCAACAGGAATTAACATCGATGGCAAATTGATAAATCATATCTGTTTTGCAGATGACATTATTTTAATAACAGACAACATACAGGAGGCACAGAATATGCTGGATATGCTGAATGATGCTTCGGAAAAAGTCGGTTTGAAAATTAACTTGTCAAAGACACAATACATGACAAACCTAGTACTAAGTGGAAATTTAAACATTAATAACATACCTTTCGAACAAGTGCATATATATAAATACTTAGGGCATGAGATCGGTATTAGAAGGGATAATCAGACCCACGAAATTCTACGAAGAATAGGTTTGTCGTGGGCGGCATTTGGCAAACTAAGGCATATACTGAGATCTGATATTCCCATATGTTTAAGAAGAAAGATCTTTAACCAGTGTGTCTTGCCTGTCCTCACGTATGGAGCTGAAACGCTTACTTTGACAAAAAAGAACATACATAGAATACAGGTCATGCAACGGAAAATGGAAAGGTCTATGTTGGGAGTTACACTCAGAGATAAAATACCCAATCATACAATACGAAATCGAACAGGAGTAAGAGATGCGGTGATATCTGTCTTACATCTTAAATGGAATTGGGCAGGACATGTGGCTAGGATGACAGATGGACGGTGCACAAAGAGACTTGTGGAATGGAGACCGAGACACGAGGCCTATAGAAGCAGAGGACGACCTCCTAGTCGATGGACAGATGACATTAAGAGGGTGGCTGGAAACTGGATTCAAGTGGCACAAAATAGAAGGAAATGGCTAGAGTTAAGGGAGGCTTTTGTTCAGCAGTGGACGGTATAAGCTAAATGATGATGATGATGATGACTAACATACCAAATCTCGTTTTTTTATCTGAAGAAATAAAAAAGTTATAGAGTTGAGCCACTTTTTAGACGCATCCGGTATAAACCCATCCATAGTTAACTAAAAAAACTAGAAACTTTTTTTAGTGAAATACATGGATTGGTATGAACGTCATCTGCCTTTTTTCTGTCATCGTCTGTCGAGTAATAAAACAGAGTATATTGACAATACAGTCAGTTATAGTCTGTTCTCTTGGTCACAAGCAGATGTTACTTAATACTACAGTTCTATTGATTAAACATGCTCACAAATTAAAATATGATTCTGATACTGAAGTCTCTCCAACAAGTCAGGAAAGATTTTGACACAGACGTTCCAAAAATGACAGAAAATACATCGCCACTAGAAAATCCGTTTTAGCTATGAATTAAAATGGCAGACACAACTATCACTGTCAAGGATTATTTCGTTGGACAGAATATAATACACTATTTTAATAGTTTAATTATTACACTGGTACTAATAAAGTTCATTAATTAAAGTCGTAACTGTTATTCTTTTGTTCTAGGGACCACAGCTCCTATTTTTCTTTTAAGTAGTGGCGATGTGGGTAGCCACTTGATTATCCACACCACACCTGAATCGTCCACCAATACAATAAAATCGGTGGACGGTACCGACGATGGTCAGGTACTACTAAAAGGAATAAATCAGGGCCTGGAGGTGGTACAAGATAACGATACGGCGTGCAGTAGTGGGAGCAGTAGTAGAAGTCTCTCCACTCCTATTGGTTCAGGTGAGTTCGTAACTATTTTACGTCACTAAATAGGCTTAATTTTTTTAAAGCGTTTTTATTTTTGTCGAAATTTAAAAATCTGAACTTATGAGAGAAATCTGAGAGTGTGGATAACGTAGGAGATGGCAACATTGCATTCTCTGCAAGTACTAGAAACACATTTCCAGAAACTGAACAAGCGGCACTCAAAAGTTTTGAACATTTTTCAGAAATGGACTTGTATTAGACCAAAACAAATCAATGTATATTTAATATGCTTAGCCTATCTTATAATATGTATGTTAATGACTATCGTACTTGACAGACTGTTTTTTTTGCCAACTAGGCTAACCATCTATAATTCACACCAAATAAACTTTTAGTCACGTGATTAAGCTTGACCGGCACAGCGTTGCCCACTTTTACGTATTTTCTTTTAATCAAAATATTTTGGGAAACAAAAATAAATTCATTATAAATATACAGGGTTGTTCAGCACATACGACACGGAGTATTGTAGCTAAACGATGAGGTTTTTACAAATTGTAAGTTTTGGGTTCGATGAAGGACTATTAGAGGTACAATTTAAAAATAATTTTACAAGATACAGAGTGTCCCAAACAAGTAAAAAATATCAAAGTTGTATTTTTTTAAATGGAACAGCCTGTATATTATTACATTTTTAGTTTCTACGATTAAAATACAGGTAAATTTGATTAGGGTTTATTATACTTAAACCTTACCGTTTTTAAAATATTTTCAATTTTGTGAAATTGCAGTAAAAATTTTAGGGCTTCATTTCTCCAAGGGTATCAAAGTTTTTAATACTAAATATTTACTGAAGTTTATTTATTGATCAGTTATTGTGTTGCAATAATAAAAATAATGCTACCTTATATAGAGTGTCTAAAAATTTATTTTAAATATTTATCAGCTTCAAACGGCAATAACTTGTTTAATTTAAATGGAACATCCTGTATATTTTACGAGAATCAGATGCTTAATTTAATTGTCTATCAAATTGTATTATACCATTTTTACCTATCTCTTTAAGTTTCCATAGAAAATGCATTTTCTTGTAATTTAGAACTTATTTATCAATATACCCATGGAATATTGACATTTTAGAAAATTTTTTAAAGAGTACAGATACTCTATTGTCGATATAATTCGTTTATATCATTAAAAAATAAAAAAACTGTTTAAATATTTGTTAAAGAGGATCAATTAATATGATTCCAGTATTCAAACTACATTAACTGACTGTTTGCGTTGATTAATAATAGTTGCGCCAAATACTAAAAAACTGTGTTTTGTATATGTATTTGACGGTGTGGTAAAAATTAACACCTTAAAATGATATTTCTTTTTTTAATAAATGCTTATTTATAACAACAGAGACGTTAATTTTGATAACTTATTATTATATTGATTTCTGTCTCAAATCCACATTCATTTAGAATAATTTATTAACGAACACAATTAATTATGTAATTAATTAGTATATGGGCGGAAATAATGGTGTTATATTTAATTAATGGTATACTCTTTTATAAAGATTTAAATAGTTTTCTTTTTGCATACAAATAGACTAGTAATATTATCGTTTTGCTAAAAACGATAATATTACTAGCCTGTACATTTTGTACATTTGTTGCTTTAAAAACAATCTAAAATGTCAATATTCCATGGGTATATTGATAAATGGGGTCTAAATTATAAGAAAATGCATTTTCTACGAAAACTTGAAGGGATAGGTACAAAATGGTATAACACAATTTGATAGACAATTAAATTGTGTATCTGATTCTCCTAAAATATACAGGGCGTTCCATTTAAATTAAAGAAGTCACTGGCGTTTAAAGCTAGAAATTATTTAAAATAAATTTTTAGACACTCTGTATAAGGTAGTATTATTTTTATTATTGCAACACAATAACTGATCAATAAATAAACTTCAGTAAATATTCAGTATTAAAAATTTTGATACCCTTGGAGAAATGAAGCCTTAAAATTTTTACTGCAATTTCACAAAATTGAAAATATTTCAAAAACGGTAAAGTTTAAGTATAATAAACCTAATGAACTTTACCTTTATTTTAAACGTAGAAACTAAAAATGTAATAATATACAGGGTGTTCCATTTAAAAAAATACAACTTTGATATTTTTTACTTATTTGGGACACTCTGTATCTTGTAAAATTATTTTTAAATTGTACCTCTAATAGTCCTTCATCGAACCCAAAACTTGAAATTTGTAAAAATATAATCGTTTAGCTATAATACTCCGTGTCGTATGTGTTGAACAACCCTGTATAAACAGTTGTTATTTACATCAACAAAACTCACCTTCTTAACAGCACTTAAGGGACATAAAGGGCCATTACTAATGCTTTCCCGTTCAAAACATTCTAATAAAGTTGCGATGAGTTTTTTACGGATATTAAGCTATCTTGTACACTTCGCACTAAAAGAGGTTCCAAAAAGAACACTGTTCGACTGCAAAGTCTGCTAGTAAACATTTTTAAGCTGAAAGTATCACAACGCTATTTATTTAATCTAAAAACTCGTAATACAAAACTAAAGTGTCAAAACGAATGACAATGTCAGGAAGTAAATAAATGTGAAAACTTTTTGACATTTTTTACAGCAGAGCTACCACCTGAATTCCCAGCCCAAAATTTAAATTCCAGTTAGTCAGCCGGGCGCCGAATATGTCCATGGTTGGCAACAATGAATTTAAAAATCGCGCCTTCGATGACGTAACTTAAAGTTTAATTGATATCAAATATATTTCTGCCAATAATTTTCTACAGATCATTACACATCGACTTTAACCTTATCTTTGATTATTATTTTCAAATCGAAACCCTGTTCTATTCTGTAGATACCTGGAAGCCATATGGCCTAAAAATTGAACAATAAATAATTTAACTGCCGTAAACCTAACGTGGGCAATAAAAAAAGCGAGACAATGTCTCGAATGGGCTTTTTCTACACCATTAACCATAAATATATAAAATTTTCTACATTGTCTGCCATGAACTTTGCCCATAACGAGGCGGTTTACGTATTGAATATTAAAATATTTTCTTTTCCGCTTATGCCGGTGTATGGAGAAGGTTAAACGAAAATGTGAGGCGATAAGACGTCTAAATTAAAAATATTATACGGTTATTATCCTCGGTACGAGTCTATTTACTTTGCCCTAAAAGGGTGTAAAAAGGGTGATTTTTATTTAATTTATTCAGGGTGTTCGTTGGGGTCGGGTTTTCTACCAGACATATTTCAATTAATCATTTACAGTAACTTATTTAGAAAGTTATATTTGATTTTTACAACATAATTCTTTGTAAATAGGAAAATTTGTTAGGTGGTTTTAACCCTCGAGCGGGTGCGACCGGAATTTTGTACCGCAATTTTACTAATTTCGTTAAAACAAAATATCCATTGGACGTAGGTCGGTGGTGCCATTAAATATTTTTATTTAGAGATATTTGATACCCGGGGCGTAGTGGTTGCGTATCCAGCGTTTCAAGTTCAGTAGGTATTCTGTCGTAAACCTGGCAACTACAGAATTTGCGGTACACCGTGCCACTACGCGCCCGGTTATGTAAGTAAAATAATTATCATAAATTTTAATATTTTCCTTTATTTGGTGTAATTCTAAATTGTTACAATTTTTTTCAATTGCTTTTATAATAAGATGTTAAATATATGTTATCTAACCTGTAGTAATGACGGAAAGGGTAAGTATACAAACTCTTCCCAGATATTTCCATGTTTTCCTCACTAAATATGCCAGAGATACCAGTTAGAGACAATAAGAAGCGAGTTGGTCCCTGCCATGTATGTGAAACCCATAAAAATACTAGTTTTTGCAACTAAGGCAACAAATGTGTTCGCGAAAGTATTCCGCTAGTACACCAGAAGGTCCGAGTTCGAGGCTGCCTCGAGGCATAATTTTTTTTATTTTATTTTCGTTAGTATTCTGATTGCAAAATATTAAATACATATCTTAAACAATAATTCAAGGATTTATCTCTTATAGTTTTCGAGATAAGAAATAAAGTAAAGATTTCAGTTAACGTCTCCTTTTTGCTGCCAGGGCTAATCTGGACGGGGCCTACTTTGTTTACGCGGAATCCGAACCGCGGTCCTCGGCCATATCATGGTCAATTGCCTACCGACTTGGGAAGTGTCTAAATCGACTTTTACTCACGAGATATCCGATCTCATCCGGCCTCGAACCGGCTTGAATGAGCAGTGTGTGTCAATAGATTTTACACTTTTGCTTTTTTTGGACAACAGCACGATACAGAGTTTCGAACCGGTCACCCGTCCATCCACTAGTATCGCCTTACGTCGCTTAACTTCGGTGTTCTAATGGGAACCGGTGCACAGTGCTTCGAACATATGGCTCTAGAGGACAAAAATCCAAAACTTCTCTTTTATTGTAAGCAATTTATTCAAACTAGGTTTATTTGACACAAATGATAAGTACTCTCATTGTACTAAATGATGATGTTCTTAGTCCCACGTTTATGAAAAAAAATCTTATAAATAATAATAATGTTGGAGCTGTGTTCCATCTAAGCAAATAATAAGTTATAGTATGAAAACGGTGTAAGTATTAAATAAATTCCTGGGATAAAAAAGAATTGAAATAACATTAGAACATGATTCCTACAATATAAGCCTAATATAAGATAAAAATGTTTTTCTTTAATGAAAAAGAAACATTAATGCTATATTTAATTAAAAAGAAAACTTATGATACTATAAATTTACTTTAGAACAACAAAATGTATAGATCGTAACTACTCTGATTCAGAAGAATCACTGCTGACAGAATCTTCCAAATTTATAGTATCCAAATTACAGGTAGATGATATATTCTCACATATAAGATATTTCTGTACATCATTTTCTAATATGTTACTTTTTCGCGTTGTTACTGTTCATTTTGTCGGTATGAGGGGTTCGGATGTTAATAGTTACCTCTTTAATAGACCATATC